CTCATCAACTACTAGTGTTAAAGAACTTGTGAAAAATTCTTAGACTCATATGCTAGTATGCTGATAATACAGGTGCCCAACTTTTGTATTTTGAAAGCAGTTGAAATAAAAAAAAGACAATCTATTCTGAAGTTCTAAAAGCCAAATACATTACTAGAAAAAAACTGAATGTTACCCCAAAGATAAAGAAATAGAATTATACAAATCAGTTATCCAGTGATTTGAAGTCATGGCTCCATTCTTCCCAACTCTTGCAGTTACCTCTATATAAATGAATTTTAATATTGTGCAATAAATTCTGTCCACATCCTATTTCCTATGTTTTACTAGTTAACTTTTGCATACTTTTCTATTTTGTTAACTTAATAAAGTGGATAGCTAAAGATGCAGGGGTAACAAAGAAAGGAATTCACTTAAGGCAGTGGCAAAAAGAACAGGATCCTTTTAAGAATGCCTTAATGAAGAATATTCTAAATAATGAGGAGGAAAAAATGAAATAAAACACAATTGAAAAGTCAAGAGTGGAGTGCCCAAACCAAGAAAACATTTATTATAATGAAAAGTTTGACAAAATACATTCTCCTGAACTCATGAACTTATTCTTGTTCTTAAACTACGTTTCTTCATTTTTGTGCTATTGGTCAGTTTAATAATAGCAAATAATCCTAGCAGCATTTCTGTTTGACTTTTGAATGCCTTGTAAGTATTTAGTCTGGAAATAATCCATCTGTTTAGATATTTGATTTTGTCACTATTGCTTTGTTTAGGCCTGGTAGTGAGAGGAATTGTGGAGGACAAAAAAGGAAATGGGAAGAGTGAGAACATTTTGTTTAAAGATATCTCTAAGAGAGTTATCTTCTCACAGTGAAAATGGGCAAACTTTGACTGGATGTATAATAGGTTGCATCTGTCACTTCTATATCAAAAATAGTCAGTGCTCCTACTATATCATCCAAACAAAAGTTAAATGTTTTATAGCAGTGTATTTTATCATATTTCATTTAAATGTATAATTTCATAAAGTCTCCACAAAATAAATTATCCTTATTCTGTAATCCACCAGAAACAATAGCAGTAGGCAGTGATTTTTGCATGGCATTTAACATTTTAACTGTAATTTAAATCTTACATATAGGAAATATGTGCATATGAAGTCAGATTATATATTTAATTATGTGGTTATGTGGTTTTGTAAAAGCAAACAAACAACACCTTATTCTTTATAATCAGTTGGCTTGAGACCTTTATCTTGACAGCTACACTTGAAATTCACACTCCAATAGTATATCCCTATCAACAAAATGCTTACCTTTCATTATTCAATATTTAAATAAAATTTTCCTGTTCTCTACTGAAGATTTTTAGGTAAATATTTTAAATCTGTATTTTTAGACAGAATCAGAAATAGTAGTTATTCTGAGGAATACAGTGCAAATTAGTAAGAGTTGCATAAGAAGCAGAAATCATTCTGAGGAATACAGGACAAGTCAGTTAGAGGTGATTAAATTAGCACAATCTTAGAATTTTAAACCTAAGGATGGATTCCAGTATTATTGTCCGTTGTTTATTCTCCCAAGTTCCTATTATCACCTGTCAGAAGTAGAGAAAGATAAATGACTTAAGTGATCTGTGGAAGAAGAAGGCAGAGTGAAGGGCTAAGAGGAATGTTTGTGGAATCTATGAACAGAATAATAGAATCAGTAGACTAAAGATGACTAGATATATCCCTTTATCACTCCTGATGACTACCTATAACAAGGAAATTATGGTACTTTAAAAATTAAAGTTCTTTACAGTTGACACTTGAATGTTCAAATATATAGATATAGGCATAGTTTAAAGAATAAATCATTTGGATCTACATTAAATCAATCTATTTTGCTTCTATATTTTCAGAAGGGAAAAATGGCTTTTCTTTCTTTTCTGTAAGTTGAACTGGTAAGTTTGATGTCATGAATTTTTAATGTCTCATTTATTTATGAGCTGGGGTGTGAAGCATTGTGTTAGGCTTCTTTGTTCCTTAGACTTTCAAATAGGAAGTAAATAAAAATGTTAATTATTCAAATAAATTAAAAATTACCTTTTATGTGACCAACTATTAAAAACTTGTAGAAATGTTCATAGTTAGCATTGAATTTTACCAGCAATAAAAGTTGATGCAAAGACTCAATCCTCTAATTGCAGAATTGTTTATAGAGATAGCTGTGTTCAGCAAAGAATAATGCATTATTATCTAAAAGGCATTGCTAAATTATCTACTATGCTTTAGGAGAACTTGGTAAAATAAATAAGTTATGGTGAATTTAATCCATATAATCAATAAAGATAAAACATTCTGTCCCTCTACATACAGATCTGTTATCCACAAAATTCTTCTACCTCAGCCAACTTACTGGTACTGGAATGCTTCAAAATGAATTATTCTTCAGGACAGTCCATAATCATTTTTAGGATATAATATGAATTGTGCTAAGTGAGGTCTGCTTCCAATTGCAATCATAGCTGTAAAATATTGTGCTTGTCTGGAAATATCTACAAGTTCAAGGTTGTTGCTGCACCACACACATTGGTTTGGATGTCTGTTTTAGCGACTTTTCATTATACCCTTGCCATGTCTAGTAATTCATCCATTTCCAATAAAATCCACCCCATTATTTAAACATACCAGGAATTTGGTAATTGCTTAAATATTATCAATTAAAGTGGTAGTCAAGTTCTGATAGTAATGGGCTGTTTCAAGTAATGAGGGAAACGGGAAGATATTTGTGGAAGGAAAGTGCTTGGAGGAGCATGTGTCTTGCTCAGTAGCCTTAGCAATGTGTGCACCTAGCACTGAAAAATTTATCTGCAAATACCTAAATTAGTGAAGTGCAGTTGTATGTTGCTTGGGATAGGAATAATTTGGGGTAGGAATTGTGTAAATGGCTTGCTTCTTGATTTGTTTTTTGTTTTTCTTTGTTTTTTTGTAAAGGAGGATAACCAGATCAGCAACATATTTTTATCAGTTAAACCTTGCTAGTTTTCAGATAATATAATTTATCTTATAGGGAATTTGGAGAATTAGCTGGCTGTGACATCTCCTGATCTGAAATACTATGACACATGATACACATATCTTTATATCAGGAATTATTTTTGTTCTATGATCATTATTTGATAGCTTTAATTCCATAAGGTTCAAGTTTATGACCATGTAAGGCCCAATGACCTTTATGGGTAGAATTGTTATTTTGTTTAGAATCACTGACTGCATTAAAATCAATTTATAACTATAAAGGTTCTATTTTTCTCTTTCAATTTAATAACAATTGAAGATATTTTCTTAACACAGGTAAGAGACATAAAAAGAATCTTGAAATTGCTAAAAAGAACATGTTCTTAAAATTGTCATGAAGTTATATCTAAATGTATTAACCTTTTAAAAATTATTTGGCATTAATTGAAAGAGACAAAGACTTGAGATTTTAGTAATGTCATGACAGTATTCTGGCATATCTGAGGTATGGTCTTCTGTTTAGCCACTCACATTTATTTAAAATCCTTCACAAGGGGGGACAAAACACCCACTCCTTGAGTGTGGTCTGTGCATAATGACTTTCTTGCAAAGAGTACAGTAGGGAAAGGGGGAGAAAAGAGGGTAACTTTATATTTTACCATGAAGAAACATTGACAGTTAATACATCAGCCAGATAATCAAGATCAATATCAGTACTAATCAATCCTATCAATAGTGTGGACCCTGGACATGAAGTGTTCAAATGTTACTTTACCTCTGTTGTCTTTTTTATCAAACCAACAACCCCTGTCTAATCATGAGAAAAATATAAGATAAAACTCAATTATAGTGAGTTAGAAATTTTTACAAAATGTAACTAAGTGTGGATATGAGCACAAATCTGTCATCCCATCTCAGTTAGATAAAGACAGAATGGCTAAATCTTCCTCAATGTCACTAGATTTTGAATTAAGTTGTCAATTTTTGACATTGACTATTCTTCTAAAGGTGAGTAATGCTAGAGGAGAAATGGCTTAACAACAAGCTTAAACTCTTTATAATATTAGGAAACAGGTGAATATCAAAGCACACTAGATTGACCCAGTAAGTGTAAAAATTAAGCCTAGATCTCCAACAAGCTAGTTAACAGCCTTGAAAAGGAAACTGCCTAATATATCAGAACAGATTGTTGTTTGTCGTGGTGAGACCACTTGATTAATTAGTATGGCTTTTGTACCAAGTAGTAATCAGGTTATTTCACATTAACAAAAACAACTTCCAAAGCAGAAAGGGTAATATACATAGAAATAGAAGTGCTTGTTATTGGCTTTTTGATGCTATTTACCAGACAAAATAGAAAACCCATAGTGGCATAGAAATATATAAGTTTTTAGCAGAAGCACAGACTTTTATAGATTTAGTTAATCAATTTAAAAAAAAATAACAATGAACTTGAAATTTCCTTTTCCACATGAAGATTGGGGAAGAAAATACTTGGGCTCAAACCTGTTTATTTTAAATACACAATTTTTTAAAACCCTGCCTAATTTAATTTGTTTGTAGGAAAGTAGATTACACACTGGATACATACATTTTTTATTATAGAACAAAATGGTTTCTAAGTTCTAGAATGTGCTATAAATCAAAGACCGAAGAAAATTCTATAATACAGATAACCAAGAACAATGTGTATTACTGCATTGAATGTTTCTCCTTCTAGAATAATGTCTGCATTCAGTTGTTTTTCAACTATGCTTTTGCTGTTCTTCTTTTTCTCAGGTCCTTTCTACAATATGTAGGAGAAACTTGTCCATTTATTCTTTATATAATAACACCCTTGAGGGACAGTGTAAGCTCTTTCCATCATTAATCAGAGTTAACTAAGTGAGTTATTTCAGCAGATGTTCAATGGCAGACACCTTCTCAAAACCAACTGTCTTCCTTATGAAAAGCATTTACTTTACACATCAAATAAACAGCATTGTTATATATTTTTTTATTCTAGTGTGCTGATAGGCAGAATTCACCGGTCACTTCACCAGGGTCATCTCCCCTTGCACAGAGAAGAAAGCCCCAACAGGACCCTTTGCAGATTCCACATCTCAGCCTGCCTCCCGTGCCTCCCCGCCTGGATCTGATTCAGAAAGGCATCGTTCGTTCTCCATGTAGCAGTCCAACTGGTTCGCCAAAGGTAAATCAATTTTATGAGAAACAGATAGTGATGATTTTACATGACAGTTATTGATTGCTCAGCTTCTTTTAAATTTCATTTCACATTTCTGTGCTCTTATTTGTTCCTGAACAGTGTTGATAGGTTTCTCATTCTGTGTGTGGTGAAATCACAGTCATATTCCTAGCATTTTTATTATAAAAGTTACATAATTATTCAGAGAGAGCACATGTCTGTAACAGCCCACTGACTTGCTAAAATAAATAGCAGAGTAAGTACAGTTATTCTATAAAGTGGATTTAAAAGATCATTATATGTATTAAAATACTCTTATCAAATGATATTTTATACTCAGTTTCATAGTGTCATGACAAGAAAAATGTAATGAGAGTATATTTGCATAAGGGCTTAAGGTGTGATAAATTATCACCCATGTTTCAAGGTGACTCAGAAGAGGGAATTATATGTACTTTTTATACCTGAAGCAATTAATTATAAAGAATTACATTATTTGCAGAGTAATTACATTACTATTTAATATTAAGGACATAGTTCTAACTCAGTAAATCTAAGCCCACAGTTTATTTTAGTTCTTTGCAGTCTATGCAGGTATTTTTACAGATTGGATAAGGGCATATTTTGCAAACTTAAGCACAGGATTTAAAAAATTCCATTTGGAATTATGCTTTGCTGTCTAAATTAGTTGGAAGCAAAATATTTCCTTAATATTTGATTCCTCTATATTCAAGTTAACTTGGTTTTAAAATCATATTAACACATCTTAGGATGTTACTTAGGCAGGGTTATGCAACCACACAGTACGTTTCTTTTAATATCAAAAGCACAAATCAGCCCTGGTCTGGGTATCTCAATTGGTTGGAGTGTTGCCCACATGTACCAAGATTGGGGGTTGGATTTCTGGTCAGGGCACATAGAAGAAGAAGAAATAAAAGGCATCCAAATTGAAAAAGAAGAAGTAAAATTGTAATTTTACAGATTACATGACATTCTACATAGAAAACCCTGAAGACTTCATCAGAAAACTATTAGAACTAATAAATGAATTCAGCAAAGTAACAAAATACAAAATTAACACCCAGAAATACATGGCTTTTTTATATACCAATAATGAACTCACAGAAACAGAAACTAAAAACAAAAACACAATCCCATTTACTATTGCAACAAAAAATTTGAGATACTTAGGATTAAACTTAACCAAGGGGGTAAAGGAACTGTACTCAGAAAATTATAAGACACTGAAAAAAGAGATCAAGGAAGACATAAACAAATGGAAGAACATACCATGTTCATGAACTGGTAGAATCAACATCATTAAAATGTCCATATTACTCAAAGCAATCTATAGATTCAATATAAACCCCATTAAAATACCAATAGCATATTTCAAAGACCTAGAACAAACTTTCCAAAAATCCACATGGAATTAAAAAAAAAAAAAAAAAAAAAAAGACCCCAAATAGCCATAGCAGTCCTGAGAAAGAAGAACAAAGTTGGAGGGATCACAATACCAGATAGAAAGCTATACTACAAGCCACTATTCTCAAAACTGTCCAGTACTGGCACAAGAACAGAAATATAGACCAATGAGACAGAACAGAGATCAACCCAAGCCATTATGCTCAATTAATATTTGATAAAAGAGGCAAGAGCATGCAGTGGAGTCAAGATAGTCTCTTCAAAAAATGGTATTGGGAAAATTGGAAAGATTCATGCACAAAAAAAATGAAACTAGAGCACCAACTTACACCATACACAAATATAAACTCAAAATGGATATAGGACTTAAATAAACCATAAAAATATTAGAGGAATACACAGGCAGCAAAATCTCAGACATATGCCGAAGCAATATCTTCACTGATACAGCTCCTAGGGAAATGGAAACTAAGGAGAAAATAAGCAAATTAACTATATCAAAATAAAAAGCTTCTGCACAGCAAAAGAAACCAAAACAACAAGAAAGCCCATTGCATAGGAGAACATATTTACCAATGTTATCTCCGATAATGGTTTAATCTCCAAAATTTATAGGTAACTCATTCCACTCAACAAAAGGAAGATAAACAACCCAATCAAAAAATGGACAAAGGACCTAAATAGTCAGTTTTCAAAAGAAGACACACAGAAGGCCAAGAGATATATGAAAACTTGTTCAAAGTCACTAATCATCCAGGAGATAAAAATCAAAACTACAATGAGCTACCATCTCACATTTGTCAGAATGGCTATCATCAACAAATGACAAGTGCTACTGAGAATGGGTTGAAAAAGGAACCCTCTTATAATACTGGTGGGAATGCAGACTGGTACAGCCACTGTAGAAAACAATATGGTGTTTCCTCAAAAAATTAAAAAAGGAACTTCCAATTGACCCAGTAATCCCACTTGTAGGAATATATCCTAAGAAAACAGAAACACCAATCAGAAAGCATATATGCAAACACCAATCAGAAAGAATATATGCACTCCTATATTCATAGCAGCACAATTTACAATAGCTAAGAATTGGAAACAGCCTAAGTGCCCATCAGCAGATGAGTAGATTAGAAAACTGTGGTACATCTACACCATGGAATTCTAGGCTGCTTTAAAAAAGAAGGAATTCTTTCCATTTGCAATAGCATGGATGGAATTGGAGAACATTATATAGAGCGAAATAAGCCAGTCAGAGAAAGATTAATATCACATGACCTCAGTTGTGGAATATAATGAACAACATAAACTGATGAATAAAAATAGAACCAGAGTCATCTAAGCATTGAACAAACTGTCCAACCTATGAAGGGAAGTAGGGGTGAAGGGGTGGAGAGATCAACCCAAGGACTTGTATGCATGCAAATGAGCATAACCAATGGACACAGATGGGGGAGAGGTAAGGGCATGTGCCTGGGGGATAGGCGTGGGTGGGGAGGTCAATGGGGGAAAAAGGAAACTTATGTAATACTTTAAACAATAAAGGATTTAAATTTTAAAAAAGAGTCAACCAATGCATCAATAAGTGAAACAACAAATTGATATCTGTCTAAAAATATAAATTAAAAAACACACACAAATCATTCATCAGATGAACCAAGTATATAAAAGCGAAAGCTCACAAGTTATGTAGAGTCAATTTTGGAGCATACCTTCATATATCCATTTAAGAATCAGACTTTTTTTTTTCATTTTAAGGAACCATGAAATTCAAGTGAGGACTATAAATGATGCTACTATATTATTTGTATAGTTATTTATCAGTTTTTCTAGTAGTTGATAAAGAACCAGAGCAAATTTGTTCCTTATGAATTTCTTTATATTACAGCAGTGAATACAAATATAGCAAAACCAACACTCAGTGATACTACAATTTGCTTAAAAAAAAAACAGCCTTGATGGCTTCCTCTCCTAAGTCATCGACGCGTGCAAATGAATTAATTAATGATTCTATTATTTTAATGTCAGCCATTCAAAATCACCATATAAATTTGGTATTCTGCTTTTTTCTGTACAGTCCTTAAAATTTTAACATTTCAATTTATATACTCATTTCTACAGAAATATTTCTAATGTATATTTATAAGAGTCTTCCATTAACATTTTAAAATTTCATTAACTGGTAATAAAAAGAAACTTAAAAGAAGATGACATATGGATCTAATAAAGCTCTATTATGGCTTAGAAAATAAAAGCAGTAATATAGTATTCTGGTAGTAATTTCAGTGCCTAGTACAACTCTTGATTTTTCTTTCTCTTGTGTCTCCTTAGTCTTCTCCTTGCATGGTGAGAAAACAAGATAAACCACTTCCAGCACCACCTCCTCCCTTAAGAGATCCTCCCCCCCCTCCACCTGAGAGACCTCCCCCTATCCCACCTGAAAATAGACTAAGTCGCCATTTGCATCCTGTGGAGAGTGTGCCTTCCAGAGACCAGCCAATGCCTCTTGAAGCCTGGTGCCCTCGAGATATATTTGGGACTAATCAGTCAGCAGGCTGTCGACTGGTAGGGGATGGCTCTCCAAAGCCTGGAATCACAGCAAGCTCAAATGTAAATGGAAGGCACAATAGAATGGGCTCTGACCCAGTACTAATGAGGAAACACAGACGCCATGATTTGCCTTTAGAAGGAGCCAAGGTAAGAAATACACAAACCTGCTTAAATTCTTCTTGCAGGAGGTAGTATAAAAGGTTGGGCAGTGTTTTGTTTTGTTTTGTTTTGTTTTGTTTTGTTTTGTTTGCCTAGTGTGGTACTTCCCTGCAATTCTTTAATGGAGTCCAAGTTATAAATATTCAGAAGCTCATTAAAACTTAATAGAAGTTAAGGAAAGGTTCTAAGTAATGATTTAATTTTAATATGAAGACACTAGACAATTTGCCAGAGATTTATTTCACCTTCTGTTATTTCACCAAACAACTTTTTCTTTTTTTTTTCCTGTTAGGAACTTGGTGGGAAAATTAGAACTATTTTTTTAATCTCTTAGTTCCATCTAACTTGAAAACAGTTATGTAATTATAGCATATCAGAAATAAGCATTAGAATTGTCAGTACACCTATGCAAAGAGGTAAAATAAATCTTCTCAACAATGTGAAAACACCAAGTCCAGTTCACTGTTACACAGCCAGCTATTTCTCCATAAAACTGAGAGACAGAGACTCTCACATATGTTGATTTCTGGAAGGAAAGAACTTAAACATACAGGAAACCAAAGTGGCAAAAGCAGAATCACTGAGTTTAGAACTCTTTTTTTTTTTTTTAATATTTTATTGATTTTGTACAGAGAGGAAGGGAGAGAGATGGAGAGTTAGAAACATCGATGAGAGAGTCATCGATCAGCTGCCTCCTGCACACCCCCTACTGAGGAAATACCTGCAACCAAGGTATGTGCCTTTGACCGGAATCGAACCCCGGACCCTTCAGTCCCCAAGCCGACGCTTTATCCATTGAGCCAAACTGGTCTCGGCTGAGTTTAGAACTCTTAGTAAGCCCTTGGCAGAGTTGCTTATATTCTCATATCCATGATATTTTTGGCTCTGAGATCAGATTATCCCATCTTCCCTCAGCAAAAGGAGGCTTACCTCTTTTGAAGACTTTAATATTAAAGTGAACCCACATCTCTTGACCTTAAATTGTTATTTTAAGGAAGTAACTTATTCCTTCAATACAATGGCTTGCAGTTGAGGAATATAATATATTCTAGAAACAAGTGTGAAATGTGACATGTGCTCAGCTCCTGTGTGTGTATGTGTATGTGTCTGTTTGCACTTGTGTTTTTGTGCCCCTGTATGAAGGGAGGTAATAATGAAAACTTTGTATAATATTTTACCTCTGTGATATTGTAGGATAGCCAGGATAGGAACACTAAAAACTTTCTAGGATGGCATTGAACACAAAGGGAAGAGTGGTGGTGGTTTGACAGGACTCTTTGCCATTGACTGTCCTTGGTACCTTCAGTCTCATCCTATCTAATAAAAGGGTAGTATGCAAATCGACCATACTCTGCAACACCCACAAGCCGTGTCCACCAGCCAATCAGGAGTGAGTATGCAAATTGATCCAACCAAGATGGCTGGGGCCATGGAGCAAACAGGGGGCTTGGGATTCCCTGGCGATGGAGGAATCCAAGCTTTGTGCACACCCTGGCCGGCCCTGGACTCCACTCAAGGCTACAACATTTCAATTATAGAAGATAAATTAATCCCAACAAAAATGGGCTGCAGCCAGGGAGCTTGGCTCCGCTCCAGGCTACAGAGTTTCAATTGTAGAAGATAAATAAATCCTAGATACCAGAGTCTCCGCTTGGGTTGCCAGGGGGCCTCTATAGAGTAATATGCTAATTAGACAGGACGTCCTTCAGGATGAAGCCGCGGCAGGCGGTAGCCAAGGCAAAGGCAGCTGCCTCCGCAGTGGGGGCTGAGCCCCTTGCACAAATTTCATGCAGCGGGCCTCTAGTCTATTATACATATGAAGATCTCCAAAGTTTCTTCCCAAAGTCATCTAAATATGTAAATTAAAGAGAAAAAAATTTTTAAAGCATCTTTCTGATCCTTTCTGAAAATGGAGAATGTTATCCTCAAAAGAATGTTTCCACACCATTCTTTTTTTTTTAAATGTCTTTTTTTTTTTCCTTTAGTCTCTATTTCTTTTCATTCCTACATGATCAGACTTCTCTTGAGAAAAGTGTTGAAATTATTTATGACAGGAATTGACTAGTTATTTATTAGCAGCATATAACAATATTTCCTACCCTGACTGGTTTGGCTCAGTGGATAGATCATTGGCCTGTGGACTGAAGAGTCCCAGGTTTGATTCCAGTCAAAGGTCTGTACCTTTGTTGCGGGCATATCCCTGGTAGGGGATGTGCAGGAGGCAGCTGATTGATGTTTCTCTCTCACTGATGTTTCTAACTCTCTATCCCTCTCCCTTCCTTTCTGTAAAAAAAAAAAAAAAAAAAAAATCAATAAAATATATTTTTTTAAAAACTATTTCCTGAATGAACTTCAAAAATACTTAAAATAATTATCTTAGCCAGTTCATTGAAGACCTCTCCTTTCATGTTTCTTTTCAATACTATGTTATACAGTTTTAATACTAATATAAACCTGCTCTTAAAAGCCCCAGAATGTTGGTTGTTAATTTTTGTATGGAAAGTTACATTTTTGTTTCAAATATATTATTTAGACTTTTTTTCATTAGAGGCAATGCTTCAAATTAAGTATGGTCTTCCCTCTTTAAGATAAGAAAACTTGGCTAAGTTCTAAAAGTGTAAATTAAAATTAAATGTACATATGGAATACCATACGGGGAATTCATAAAACTAAACACCCTATAAATGGAGTGACAACTCACTCCCTGTCATCATGTGTCTTCTCTCATGTGCCAGTTTTCATCATCCCTTAGAACATTTGCCCTTTTTATTTGCATCTTCACTAGACAAATGGTAAGGGAAGCAAGAATAAATTAAATTCTAATTACTCCATTTGCTAGTTGTAGTGAGCTCTGAGGGAAGAAAGCCCTCTAATTCATAGTTAAAGTGAAGTGTAAGAATTTTCTGTGGCTTCCATTTACTCCCCTTTCTCTTCCCCTTCCCACTTACCATAATCAAATAGCTAACATAATGCTTATAACATGAATCTGCAAGCTAAGAGCTATTGGATTATTTACCTTGTTTTATTTTCTTCGTAAGAGATTTCTGTGCAGTAGCATTGTTTTCATTTTCTGAATTTCTCAGGTCTTAGTCACATTATTAACCTATTCCTTCAGAAATATTTTGTTTGTCAGTTGGTGTTAACCATCTGAGGTGAAAATATTTGCAGTATAATGTTGTAAATATCATTTGACACATGGAATTTATTTCCTTATTTCTAGATACTAATATTGTGTCCAACTATCTTGGTTTGTTCCTCTTGAAAAATTAAAGCTACTGCTGTTTCTTATGTGATAAAGACTATCTCTGATTTGTCATGTTACTTCATGTGACATTACTCTAAAATGAGCTTGTGAACAGTATATGTTAGAGATATTACTAGATAAATACATCGAGTGATTTTGCTTTTTGAGATAGTGGCTTTTGCTCTTCTGCTGGTGAGGCTCATATTTATATGGATGACCTTAAATCTGCCTATAAATGTCCATGGCTGTCTTTCAGAAAATAAGTACACTCTGTGTGCTGGTTTTATTTCTAGTCTGATGTAGAAGGACAAATTATAGCAACATTGTGAGGGTAGTGAATGTGTGGGATTACATGCATGAGGTAAGGAAAACCTACCATCAATAACAAATAAATAGCCAACAAAATATTTGTTAAGGGACAGGTTAATAGTGTGACTAGAACCTGAAAATATCAGAGAATACAAACAGTGCTTTAGGACAAAAATCACCTACAATGAAAATAGGACAAGATATTTATAGGTTTAGTGTAAATAAAAAAGTTTTTCTTAATTGTGCAAAGATTATCACAAAGTATTTATTTTCCCTATATTTCAAGAGTCCCAGATTTTTTAACTATAATTGTTAGATAACATCTATCATGAGAAAATATTTCAATCTTCAAGATTAGGATCCAGTGCATCTTGAGGCATGTAGAAAAATATTAATCTAGCATATAAGTAACCAAAAATTTATAATAAAGTATGTGATAACTCAGATTATTCATTTCCCACATATCTAAAATTCTCCCAGTGAATTTTTATTCCTTCAGCCTATTTCGGCTATATGAGTACTACAAACTGCAGGGAATACAAAACGAATAAAGCACAGTATAGTGAGGGTGAGACAGGTATACCATTAACTAAGAAATAAGACACAGAAGTAGCATTCAGAAAATACAATGTGGCTTCCCCAAGACAAAAACATTCTATTTTAGATATAAGGTAAAAAGAATTTTTAAAAAAGCTTCATGTAAGAGGGTCATTGGTTGTAGACATTGGAAGACTGGTAGGTATTTTTATAGACATTAAAGGAAGGATTGGAATGGAGGTGGGGAAACATGCATAGTGTAGGAAGTAGATTTTGAACAGAATATAGGGCATAATCATAGAATAAACAGACAAAACTATGGCAATGCAAATTGAAACTAATTATGGAGTGTTTTATATTCTATACTAGAGATCCTGTGCATGAAATTTGTGCATGGGGTGGGGGATCACCTCAGCCTAGCCTGCATCCTCTCACAATCTGGGACCCCTCGGGGAATGTCTATCAGTTTAGGCCTGATCCTGGACCTAACTGACACTCGGACATCCTTCTCACAATCCAGGACAGCTGGCTCCTAACCACTCACCTGTCTGCCTGCTGATCACCATAACCATTCACCTGTCTGTCTTATCACACCTAACCACTCTGCCTGTCTGCCTGATAGCCCCTAACCACCTCTGTCTCAGACCCACCACCACGGCTTTGTCCAGAATGACATCTGGGAGGTTGTTCGGCTGTCTAGTCTAATTAATATATTATACATAAAGCTAATTTGGACAGGAAAGCACATTCAAAGTTCTGACAAGAGGAGTGATAGAATCAGAATACTTAAGTTGATAGATTATGTGATAAAAACTATTTCTGACTTGTCATGTTACTACACATGACATTAGTCTAAAATCCTGTGTGCAGTGTCTGTTGAAGATATTTCTAGATAAATACATCGATTTTGCTTTTTAAGATTGTGGCTTTTGCTCTTCTAGTGTTGAGGCTCAATGTTCAATGGAATTTAGGTGGGTTAGGGACAGAGAGCTAGTAAGACAGAAAAGGATGTTTCTTTGAGAATTAAAGAGGCCCAACTGAGTGGGATTTCTGTGTGAACTGCTTCAGTCAACACTGCCAACATATACATTTGAAGAACTAGAATTTTCTCCCATTTGCAAGCAAGCCTTTTAGATTTCCCGAGAAAATTAAATATTTATTTTTAACTCAGAAAGTTATGACTTAATGCAGTCACTCAGGTAGGGCAGCTAAAATGATTTTCTGTTTAGTGAAATGGATACAGCTGGGAGCATGGAATTCAGAATGAAATCGTGTTAATCTTGTTGTTCTACCACTGTCAGGTAATAAAAGGAGCACTTTAGAACAGAAATATGAACATCACCTCAGTACCTGCATACTAAAGTCCTCTGATGTTTGCACAAATGTGTAACCTCAATCTATCAAATAGGAAAGAAAAAAAAAAAATAGGATGAATTATGTGTTTGGTATTAGGTGTATTGTATGCAAGATCAGCCATTAAACAAATTGGGTAGGTTTGCTGTGAGAATTTCAGTAAACTCATGAATTCTTCCAGCTGTACTAAGATAAAGTCATTTCATTGGTTAATGTTTCCATTGAAAGATCATTGAAATATATCAGCAATCACTTTTCACCCAGCCCTACTGTCTTATAAAATGTGGAAGTCAGAGAGGCTTTGTGCTAAGATCACTGTGGCATGAATGCTCTTCCACAGAACATAAACAAAACAGCAGAACATGCCAAGAACCAAGTAAATGACTCAGAAAAGACACGGTGATATTGCAGAAGCAGTGGAAATGCTCGGTTACTGTGCATTAATAACTGTGTCTAAACCAGCAGGGGAAAGTACTGCTTGCATTTTAAAGCAAAGGAATAGATAGTGTCACAAAATTAGGGAAAGTCACTTAACTTTGATAGGTTATTGCTCTCCTAGAATAAAGTATATCATTAACTGTGCTTTATAGTCTTACTGATGGTAAACACCATTGCATGTGTGACTTATCAAAATTTAATGGTAGTACTAAAAAATATCGTGTATGCTTTATTATTAATATATTAGAGGCCCAGTGCACAAAATTTATATACTCAAGAGGGTCCCTCAGCCCAGCCTGCACCCTCTCGAAATCTGGAAGAACCTCGGAGGATGTCCCACTGACAGCTTAGGCCCACTCCCCACAGGCCTAACCCAGCAGTTAGATATCCTTAGTGCTGTAGCAGAGGTAGGAGAGGCCCCCACCACCACAGCTGCTCTCGCCAGCCAGGAGCTTGGCTTCTGACTGGGAGGCACTCCCCCTGTAGGAGCCCACTGACCACCAGGAGGCAGCTCCTGCATTGAGCATCTGCCCTCTGGTGGAGTGCAGATGTTAGTATTAAAATTTACTACTATCAATATGATTGCATTGCTGTTGATTTCTCTCTTGATACTTTTCAGAAGTTTTTTTGTTTTTTTTTAATGTATGTTGGGTGTTCCTACATTGGGTGCATATATGTTTACCAGAGTTATATCCTCTTGTTGTAGTGATCCATTTAGTATTATGAAGTGGCCTTCCTTATCTCATGTTAGGGCCTTCACTTTGAGGTCTATTTTGTCAGATATTAGTATTGGTACCTCAGCTTTTTTTTTTTCCCCCCTTCATTTCTGTTTGCCTAAAAGATGTTTTTTCCATTCCTTCACTTTCAGTCTGTGTGAGTCCCTTGTTCTGAGATGGGTCTCTTGACAGCATATATATGGGTCATTTTTTTTTTTCTTTTTATCCATTCAGCCACTAGTTGTCTTTTGATTGAAGCATTTAGGCCATTTACATTTAACATTGTAATTGATAAATACTTGTTTGTAGCCATTTTTTGTGCCTGTGTTCCTTCTTCCCTTATTTCCCATTCTTTTTATAACAGTACCTTTGGCATTTTTTGTATTGCTTGATACTGATAAATTCCCTTAGCCTTTTTTTGTCTGCAAAGCTTCTGATTTCCCCTTCAATTTTGAATGATATCCTTGTTGGATAATATATTCTTGGATTAAGTCCCTTACTTTGCATCACTTTTTATACTTCATACCATTTCCTTCATGGCCTGATGTGTATCTGTTGAGAAATCATCAGATAATCTAATGGGAGATTCTTTATAGGTAGTCTTTAAAATTCTCTCTATTGTTAACGTTTGCCGTTGTAATTACAATGTGACTTGGTGGGAGTCTTTTGGGATATATCTTTTCCAGGACTCTTTGGTTTTGTGACTTTTTTCTCCCCAAATCAGGGAAGATTTCTGTCATTATTTCTTCAAATATGTTTTCTAACCCTTGCTCCTCTTCTTTCTGTTGAGGCACCCTTAATATAAGTATGTTACTTCATGTTACTTCATTTTATATTGTCCCAAAGTTCCCTTAAGCTCTCCTCCTGTTTTTTTAAATTTTTTCTCCAGTTGCTGTTAAGATTGGTAATTTTTTTCAGCACTGGCTTCTAATTTGCTAATTTGGTCCTCAGCTTCTTCTAGTCTTCTGTTGAAACCTTCCATTGCGTTGTTTATTTTAGCTATATCATTTTCATTTCCTCTTGATTCTTACTTAAGTTGTCAATTTTCTCATTTATCCAATTTAGAAACTCTCTGACCCTTACTCTGAATTCTTTTGATGACATATTGCATGCCTCCATTTCATTTAGTACCTTTTCTGGTGATTACTCTACTTTGGAGGTTGTTACTTTGTCTCCCCACTTTTCCTCTTACTGAAAGATCTAGGCTGTGAATCGCCTGGGACCTATGACTACCTTGGTGGGCTTGTCTGGAGGGGTCGCACCCACCAAGACTTCCTGAAGGGCCCTGGCATGGAGATGCATGTGGCCTGCAGTTGTATTGGTGGGCTTGGGAGGCAGGTTGCGCTATCCCAGACTCACTGGCAGGCCCAGTGGCTTGGATGTATTGGACATGCTGTTGAAGTGGTGGCACTGGCAAGGCAGGTTGCACAGTCACAGGGCACAGGGCCAAAGTGGTGGGCTGGCAGGAGGGGAGCATACTCTGAAACTCACAGGATCCTATGGACAGGGTGGCTGGGGTCCCAGTGTCTATATGTCTTGCATTTGAGGTAGCAGGTCTTGGGTCAGAGTGGCTGTAGAGTCCAGGGTGGTGTCTAGAGCCATTCAGGGTGTGGTAAGGGTGGGCTCCTAGTCACAGCAGCTTTCCCCTTCAAGATGGTGTGGTTACTGTGTCATAGCCAGCTTCCCCAGGAGTGATTGCACCAGTAGCAGGTCTTCCCATCTAGGATAGCCTTGTCCACTAGCCCTCAAAAGTCCTGGAAGACCTAATGTCTCACACACACACACACACACACACACACACATCTCTCTCTCTCTCTCTCTCTCTCTCTCTCTCTCTCTCTCTCTCTCTCTCTCTCTCTTCCCCCCTCTCCCCTTTTGCTCCCTCACACTCTCACACTCTCTTCCTCCCTGCTATCCTGCAGGCTGCCATCTTCCTTCATCCCTTTAAGGCACTTTTTAAGTTAATGGTTTCTATTGAACTTTATAATGATTAATATGTACTTAATATTTTTTTCTTTCTAGTAAATTTTTTAAAAATGCATTGTTCTAATATTTGGTCTATAGTCAGACATCTATGATAGCATAATTTTATTTAAAGATACATTTTCTCATAGTTTAACTATAGTATATTGAGTCTAAAGTGGGGAGGTATAAAAAAAAAAAAGAGAGAGAATGTTACTTTAGTACAGGGCCTAGGTTTTAGAGTGAAACTTTAATGCTATAAAATGTAGAATGTGTAGCTTTGAAATGTAAACATTGATATATTTCAAATGTATTTCTTGTTGCTTTACTTATTTTAAAGTTGATAGAGAAGGGTATGTAGGACCTTTTCAATTTTTGCATTCTAAAGCTTCAACACCACTTTAGACATGAAGGGGACAAAAAAGTAATTAGCAGGTCATTAATTGTGTTACCTAGGACTATTCAAGGTATATTTCATCCTTTTTGCACCAACATTCACCTATACCTTTTATGTATTCATTAAGAGTGTGGAAAGAGGCCAATGATAAAGCCCTAAAGGTTGCTTAAAGGTCTTAAAATACATTTAAGCTTTCCTCGTTAGTATGTCTTTGCAAAGTTATGCTCTCTCTGTTAAGGTTGTGTTAATTTCAAGTTGTTTGATTAGTAAAGAGCAGTCAGTCAGGCAGTTTCTATAATATAACTGACCACCCTGGAAAACAGTGACTCTCTGTGGTACCTTATGAGCAAGGTAACAATTTTGGCTTGTGTCATTTACAAAAGGAAATCTATGTATAAAAGTGTCTGCACTTTGAAAGTCAGAACAGGTCTCCAGTTGCCAGTTTTGCTGAAGTTTGAAAGAGCAGAGGCATTTCTGTTTATACTTATATACTGTATTATCGAGAAACTTAAAAATGTTGTTAGTCCCTGAGAGATAAACTTCAAGCACTTGGGATGAACTGAAATAAGAATTGCACCAGTGCTACTTTTCTCTGTACTGAATCCTTACAGAGACTCCAATTTTTCAGTAGAAACTGATCATGCTTGGGGAATTTTACTCTTTATTTATCTAGCTCTCTGTATCTGATTTATAGAAATTATAGTATTCCTTATCACTGTTTAAGAATCACATTGTATTGGACTTCTTTAATGTAACTTGGTACTACTTTGGATGGTGTGAATTATCACTATTGTCTATTAACTCTTAAAGTAAATTGTATTTCACTTGATTAAATAAACTAAAGTTATAAATTCATTTCAAAGTTTTTCTAAAGGTGCTATTATTTTAAGGTACTTCAGAAATTAAATTCTAAACCCTTTGATTTCCTTTCAGGTATTTTCCAATGGTCACCTAGGAAGTGAAGAGTATGATGTTCCTCCTCGGCTTTCTCCTCCTCCTCCAGCCACCGCCCTCCTCCCTAGCATCAAGTGAGTTGTATTGAATATGGAGATCTTTACTCATGCATAAAGATATCATAAAGAATGGTTTTGATATTCTCATCACAGAAAGTATGGGGTGAATATAAATGTATCAATTAAATGATCCAGATGTACTTTTAAACTGAAATGTCAGAAGTCCAGGGCCTTCCTGGTTCTCAGTTGTGACCACAGCATCTTGGAGACCTGCCCTAAGCACTAAGATTCCACATAGAGTAGCAGGGAGCGAAAGCTGTCTTCCCTGCAGCCAAGAGAAGGTGGAGGAGCACATAGCCCAGCAAGCTCTCCCTCCCAGTATGCTCTCTTCCTTCGAGATACCACACTTCCCCCAGCTATTTGTTTGACATCATAAATAATCTTTGATGCAGTTTGACATCATATATAATTTTTGATTTCTCCAATTTTCTCATTTCCCAGATCCATTCATCCATTAAACTCTGTTGGTTATTGTTTTGAATTTTGTCATATTCAGCAGATCTTCTCCAATGCACTATCTTCAGCTCATAGCTGGACAAGCCTTATACCCGATCATATGATAAGAGCTCAGAATTAATATCAATAGATTTTTAAAATTAGAAAAATAAGTTAACCTAGGAGTCTCTTAGAAAAATGGGAACACAGGAGGCACAATAGACAGTTATATACATTTACCAAAATCAAACTAGGATAAAACCAAGTCTTCTGATTCTCATTTTCCTACTCTTCATATTAAATCAGGCTGCCTACTTTTCCTCCAATATATTTTGTTTTCGCAGCCAAATTAATTTAAATTATGCTTTCCTAAGATCACTTTCTTATGGGAAACACAACATTGTTGCCATAGCAGGTTTGGCTCAGTGGATAGAGTGTCAGCGGCAGACAGAAGGGTCTCATGTTCAATTCTGGTCAAGGGCATGTACCTTGGTTGCAGGCTCCTCAACGGCCCAGGACCTGGTTGGGGCTTGTGCAAGAGACAACCAATCAATATGTTTCTCTCACATTTATATTTCTCGCTCTCTTTCTCCATCTTTTCCACTCTCTCTAAAACTCAGTGGGAAAATATCCTTATGTGAAGACTAAAAACAAACAAATAATAACTCCCTCCACAAAAAGCACACACCAATAAACAACACAGCATTGTTCTTTCTTTCCTCCTAAATTATCCTATACTGTTATGCAGTAAGACCAACAGAATTTTACCCAACTACAATACTGTTCAGTAATTTCCTAGTGCTTGCCTCTAATCTTGTTTTGACTTTTTTCTGGCTTTGTGAGTTTTTCATTCTGTTCCAGCACCACTTTTTTCAGAACGTTTATTCTAAAAGTCCACGTCTCTCAAGCTCTATTTCTTTATGAAACAATTTGTGACTTCTTCAGGCATAATGCTAGTAGAAAACTGATTCTCATTCCCCTTCCCACCATTTATTTTCTACACATATAATTATGTACTCTGCTCTGCTGTTTTCTAATTTTAAAGTGCCTTTTACATTAATAAGGTTCTCACATCAAAAACATATTCTTGTATTTTCTAATTCCCCATAACACCTGACTGTTTTTGCTCTCTACTAAATAGATACTACCAAAAATACCTGGTTGCTTGGTTGATTGACTTTATTATCTGCTAAGATTCTCATTTCTAATTGAAACTTTTAGAATATCTTTCTTTCTTTCTGGTCATTGAACTCCCACTGTGCATATGAATGCAGAAGAAGGATACACTAGATATGAGTTTACAGACATTTATAATCTACTTTAATATGAAGTTAACATATATGAAATCACTAGAGAGCATTATGCACTAAATTGTATGAATTTGAACTTTTTAGTTTTTATATAAGCTTGAAGAGAGGTTATTAAAGATTTTGTAAATCAAAGATGCTTTATAGGAAGGATGGAAATTTCCTGAATCATGGATGGTAGGTATAATTGGGAAAGGGGGAGTGCATGAGAACAAAGTGTGAAATGTGACATCATTCAGGGGACAGTAAAAAACTAAGCTAATTGGACCATTTTCCAGTGGTCACTTTTCCTGAAACTGACAGATATATAGCAGGCAGAAATTGGAAGCATGTACAAATATTCTGTGTAGTGGGCTCTAAATCAGTAGCATATGATACTCGAGCCTCAAGTGAACTCTGGGTAAATTTATATGTACTATAACATATAAGTTCAATGACCTTTGAGAATTCAGAGAACATCAGAAAATGGGGTAAATGAAACTTGCTACTTAAAGATTAAATTTTCACATTCTATTTATTAAATTTATATTGGCAAGTGGGAGAAGAGGCAGAGGTTACAGTTTGCTTCATTTATATTTAATAATAAGTACCCATCTCTCTCTCTCTCTCTCTCTCTCTCTCTCTCTCTCTCTCTCTCTCTCTCTATATATATATATATATATATATATATATATATATATATATATATATAAAAGCCTAATATGCAAAGTGTCCCTTCGGGAGTTTGACAGACCAGGTATTTGATCAGTCCTTATGATGTGCACTGACCACCAGGGGGCAGCACAGAATGAAGGAAGGCCCTAGCCAGCAGCTGGTAGCCTGGAAAGGGAGACTCCAGCTGGCAGCCAGCAGTTGCTAGGGACTCTACCCATGCACGAATTTAGTGCACCGGGCCAGAAGTTTCTTTATAAGTAGAAAAAGAAGAATAAATTTATAATAAAATGTATTTTACTGACATTTTTTGTAATAATTTCATTTGTACATGTTTGTGGATACACTTTCTCTCTCTTTACTTTTGATATTTTCCTCAATGCAATTGCTTTACTTAACCAGTGAAATATTTTAGCAATGCTTAACTGCAAATTAGCTTTGTATTATGCATGCTATAGATTAACCATAATTAATAATACAACTGTTGGCTTTTAATGGCACATTTATCTCTCACATTTATTTTTATTCTTACTATTAGCTAGGAGTTGTTCATTGTAGAAAAGATAGGAAGTATATAAAAGAAAAAATTAAATGCATAAATACATATATATACATACTCTAGATATCAATGCTCAGTTTTAATATTTTGACATTTTTTCTTTAAGACTTTTTTTACATGATTTAGATTATATTGTAGAGATAATTTCATGTCCTCCTTTGTCACTTAATATTTAAATAAGTGTTTTTCTTAATCCTTTATGCACTGTATTTATTATGAAACCAGCATATAATTCCAAAATTAACATTAAAATAAACTTAGATCTGGTCCAAGACCTGATTCCAACATTAAGTATTTGTCTGGATCTGAATAAGGGAACTTCTCCGGGCCTCCCTTTCTCCCTTTACTAAAAGAAGGGATCAATTTACTTACATGATCTCCAAATTTTTCTGAGCTTCAACTTTGTAAGTTCTATGGAATATTTTAAGTGGTAGTTATCTGTAGTCTTAATTATATATCAAATATTTGGCAACTTGAATATTCATTTATAGTTGATTATTGTGTCCCATTGCTAAAGCCAGTCTGAGTTGGATACTGCCCTGATTTTTTAATTTTTATTTTATTTTATATTTTGTCAACTATGGTCTCATTTGAGTTGATAACCAAAGTATAATGAGTTATATAATCATAGAACAGAGGGCAAAATGAAACTCACTGAAATAGGGAAGTTGGGTGGATTTTCAAATACTATTTACATATTGGAATCTTAGTGCATGTTTCAAAAATCAGACCAAAGCAAAATTACAAATTACTACCTAAAATAGACTTCTGCAGTCTCGCAAATGTTAAAAACCCAATGTTGAATTCAGTAATGTCAAAGCTAGCATTTACCTTTAAATCTATACCATGTTCTTATAAATGTTTACTGAGGTGTAATTGTAAAGTATATAACGCTGCTCTGATTCCTCCTTACTTGTTAAAGAGGCTACTCTGTGATGATGTTTACTTTCTTGTAAAACTGTGTGTTTGCAATTATGTGACTTGTTGTGTAATACATCGAGACCTAGAAGAAGCTATAATTTATCTTTTAAAAATATTGTCATAAAAGCTAAAACCGTACTAGTGTGTATAAATTCACTTATTTTTTTAAATGTTTTTCTAAATGATTTATATTTCATTAACATTGACATTTAGCTGTAAATATAAAAGTTTTAAATAAAACCTTGAGATATAGGTAATTATTTTTGAGTGGGAGGATGAATAAAAAAATCCTATGTGGATTATATTTACTTTGTAGTGTAAATTTTTACTAAATTATATTTAATCCTAAGATAACTTGATTTTGTTTCAAAATTATGCTAAATATAACCTGAAAAAGTAAAAATATTTATTTTATTTGAAACAAGATAAGATGTTTTATACAAGCAAAATAAAAAAAATATTGCAAGTAATGATGGAATAATTATTTCCAGGTAAGAGAAGGTTCTGGAATGCTGAGGAATGTTTTTTATGGGTGTTTTTTATAAGAATATTATAATGTGCCTGGTCTTTTATAGAAGAATCTTATGTACTTTTTTGACCTATTAAGATTTCAAATACACATGAACCAATATTACTTGGTTTATATTTTTATAAAAAGTCTCTTTTATTGTTGGAAGTAGTGGTGTTGATTATTGTCATATACTTTTCCAAACATATAAAGTTGCTAATGTTTTAGGTTCAGTGAATAGAGAATCAGATTTGGCCTAATTATTCTATTTTCATTCAGTTTGCATATTCTGACTAGAGATATAGTGTGAACAGGTAGAGCCCCATCCTCATTGGAATCAATGCTCTGGTCCAGGGGACAGAAAGGAAACCGGTGACTGTGGTATACTGTCAGGCAATGGTAAATGCTAGGAGGAAAAGTGAAGGGGTAAATAGTGATAGAGAGGTTTGTGCTTTAAATGAGCTCATTGGGAAATGTAATATTTTAACAGAAACCTGCAAGGCAAAGAAAGGGCCACTAGATTGTCTGGGTGACAAGCATGAACAGAATTCATATTCAAAACAGTGAAGTCAGTGAGTTAGACGGGCAATGTGACTGGAATTGAACGATGATGTAGAAGCTAAGTCCTCTGCTG